TCAAACTTTCACATTAACAAAACATGTCTAGAAGAAAAGATCTCTCTCTCCAGGGACTAATGAAACAAAAATTACTTGTGTTAAAAGGTTTTGCTAGCTAGAATATTCTGTATTAAAACTCCCCAAGCCCCAACCATGCTTTCACAGTAAGACTAGGAAATAACTGAGTGCTTGGGTCTACACATTATATACAGTTAAATAAACAAAAAGACATAGATGATTTTGTTGAAAATATATTGATGAATACTCTAAGATTCAAGTAGTAAGGCTTTATTTGGCCCAGAAACACTTCATATTTTTAGAACAGTCATCACAAAATTTGCTTCTAAATTGTTGGCAGTAATATATGAAAAGAAGCTGGTTTTGTTTGACTATCAGCAATTTAAATTGAAAAGTAAAAGTGAAACTACAGCATTATAACCTTGTAAATTCCTTACGCCATTATGTCTGCTATGTCTGGTTTCATTTCTTTATCGTAGTTCCTGTACCAGAACTCACAACTACCAGCTTCTTCAGCTCATCTGTAAAAATTGTTGTGAAGGAGCGGACACCAAGCAGATCAAGGAAACTGCCCCACACCATTCCAGGAACTCTTACTCAATGTTACGCAATTCTTAAGGGGAAAGCCAACTAAGATCAAAGTAAGACTGAATTCCCTTGACAACATATGGAAGGCTCCAAGGACATTAGTAACACTCCTTGGACAAAGGAATTGTTTCTGTGGTGGGTATGGCAACAGCATACAGTCTGACTTGGTCAATTACCCCCACAACAGTTTCAGTATACAAATCCATTTTCACACAGATTGTTCACCCATATTTACTAAAACAAATGTTTTCAGTCAATTTGTTTTGATTACACAAATCTGTTTTTACAAACCACCTGGAAATCCACTTAACATTTCGATCAAAAGGAATACAGTATAATTTCTAGTTTTCAATATTCTGAAGATTTCCTTAACATTGCATTAAAACATTTTTGCTTAGTAGTAGCATACCTGGGTTTCCTAGTCATTGAGACAAACACTCCTCCTTACCCCAGGAAAATTCAATACAAAATTAGGTTAAGCAAATGGAAAATTATTATATGAACACAGAAGGCAAGATCAGTGTGTGATATAAAAATACAATTATTATTTATCTTTAAATAGTGGGTTTACATGTAACAGAAAACAGTTCTACAATACAGCATTCCAATTTATAATTCAATGTAGAGGATGTAAAAATCTGGGGAATTTTAAGAAAGAACTGAAGGCACCAATTTATTATTTTGAAGGAAAGTGTTACTACTGTTTTTTGTAATGAATGCAAAGGGTGTTCTAACCTGACAGCTCTTCCTTTGTTTCAATGCAAGGTCTGCCTGTAGCAAAGAAGCAAAATCTAGCTTGTGGACTCCTCTACCAGTCGATCAAAGGCCACGCTGTGTAGCACGTACAATACAAAATTTCTTCTGCCCTGAATAAACTTGCATAATTGACAGCATTTAGATTGGCTCAATTACTTAAACAGAAATGTACTCTTCTGATGCATTTCATCATTTGGCTTCATACTGACATTAGCTGATGGAAAAAAATATATGTGTTCAAAATGATATACATACATTTCCTTTAGACTGAATTTTAACCCCTTCCCTCTCTCTCTCTCTTTCTGGAACTTTATGTCCGTTAGCAAAGTAAAAGTTCTTCTGATAAGCTAAAACCAATGGCCTGGCTGTTAAAATTATTTCAGTTTAATTAAAACTCACCAGCATTTTCCTTGGAGCATGGCATCAATTATGTGTAATTCATTTATCATTAACCAATTAAAGGCACATGATACAATACACTTCACTGTAGGAAAAAAGTGGTACCAGTAGTCATGTGAAAATAGATTACATTTTAAAGTAGAATATAAGCTGATAGGAAAAATGTGTTCACTCTTTCTGTTAAGGCCACTAGGGAATTAGGAGAAATTTTATCTTATTTCAGAGTACTGACAAGAAGAAACATTCTAACATTTTTCTTCTAACTTGGCAATTATTAGTACCTACTTTTTACAATAGCCTTAAAATACAAAAAAGCAGTGCAGTTCTAACAAAAAAGTAAATCAGAAAAAAACCCCATTGTCTTCAACTTTGTAAGTACCACTTAAAATACATGGAAGAAGTTTAGATTACCAAAGTAAATGAACCACTGCAATAACTAGTATTGTAGTGATATGTATCATATGTTGTGCAGAAAATTACTAGCTTGAGTTTGTTAATTTTTTGAGTAACTCAAGTGCTTTTTGTACTTCACATTTACTCTTTATTGTAATGCATGCAGTAAAGCACAAATTCATTATGTTTTTAGTATCTTGGTTTATTTTTGCCATAGATTTGCTACACATGGTAGGTATCAATGCATAGTTAGAAATATCAATAAATTTGAAATGTACAGGAAATCATAGAATCACGGAATGGTTTGGGTAAGACCATCTAGTCCCACCCCCCCTGCCAGGGGCAGGGACACCCTCCACTAGACCACGTTGCCCAAAGCCCCATCCAACCTGGCCTTGAACACTGCCAGGAATCCAGGGGCATCCACAGCTTCTCTGGGCAACCTGTGCCAGTGTGTCACCACTCTAACAGCAAAGAATTTCTTTCTAACATCTAATCTAAATCTACCCTCCTTCAGCTTGAACCCATTACCCCTTGTCCTGTCACTACACTCCCTGATAAACAGTCCCTCACCAGCTTTCCTGTAGGTCCCTTCAGGTACTGGTAAACTGCAATTAGATCTCCCCAGAGCCGCCTTTTCTCCAGGCTGAACAATCCCAACTGTCTCAGCCTGTCCTCATAGGAGAGGTGCTCCAGCCCTCAATACTAGTAAGAAAATGTTAAGCAACTCATTTGTAATAGGCGGGTGTATCTCCTAGGTGACATAGGCTGAAACAAATATTTACCATCTCCTTTGTTCTCTCATCTGGCTACCCACAAATTACATTACATGCAATGTGTCCATTTACCTTTAAAAGTTGTCAATGGCCTGAACTAAACTTGCCTAAATGTCAGGATGAAGTGTGAGACTGCCATGTCTGGAGGGAGAGAAAAAGAAATCATGTGTCACACATGCTTGCTACCTTCCTTAATGCATTTCTAAGTGGTGTTCACCTATTGCTGTGGTAGAACTGGTAGAAGAACATATTGAGAAAAATAATATTTTGAAATACAGCTGCAAACTATTGTAAACCCCCCCCCCCAAATAACAAGAAATACAGAGAATGAAAATACATGGTTTTAAAGTACCTAAGATGTACCCATTAATTGATCCTTAAACACAGCTAGAACAGTACAGTACCAATCTTAAGGACTTTTGGTGGACACATAGTTACCAAAAATACTACAGCTACAATCTAAAAAATGAGAAAGTGTAATTCTCCATTTTGTTCCTATATGCATTTCCCTTTGCAACAAATCTGGATAAAGCACAAAATTATACAAATATTATACCATGAAACAAGAATACAGAAAATTTTCTTCGTGTTTCTTAACGTTCACTTCTTGCACAAAATATATTATTTGCATTTCATAGCCTATAGTTTAAAATACAGGTTAGAAGTAAATGAATGAGCAACGCTCCTCTACTAAACCATCATGATTTGTATAAAAGACAGTTCCTGCTCTGAGGGGTCTAAAGCAAGATATTTCTCATGTTGTTCCTGGGAAACTTTTACATACTATCAAAGACAGAAATCCACAGTATGAAGATAATCCCTTAAGGAATGTTCTGCTTTTCCAACCTTCTTTCCAAGAAAAAACCATTTTATTCCTTTTATAATAAAGGCTAAACAGGCCCACTGTACTGTCAGACAAGTTTCTATAAGCACACATTTCTAACATGAAGAACAAATAGGGTAGAGACTATTCTTTTGTGGAAAGGCACATTTTAGAAGGATGAAACACTTTCCGTAATTAACTTAGTGTGCTGCAGACAGCCTTTACTACTTTGCAGCCACAGACGGTCTCTGGTACCCTTTAAGCCATCCATCCCAGTTAGTATTTTTCTGTAAATTTTCTGTATGTTATACTAGTATACATTTACTAATGTAGTATGAACACATCGTCTAGTCTTTGCACCTTTTGATAACTTAAGTTCAGCACATGCTACCCTATATAATCTCTTCCATAAAAAAATAATCCCTTTTGACAGCTATTCATCACAAATTGGAATAATTAAGGCCCCATCTCCTTAATGGGCAATGGAGTTCAATGAATAAAAAAAATTAACAAAATTACAGCTTGTACACTGTAAACTAGACAAAAGCTTAATTTTTATTTTGGGACTTTTTCTGAGAAATTTCTGTAAATGAAACTTGTTACTTTGAATAGTCCACAGGGCAAATTACTACGTTATGAACCTGCAACATAATAACATTTTTCCTTAAGGAACTTATTTATGAGGAAATTTCTGCTTTTGTATAGTAATAATAATAATAATGATGATGATGATGATGATGATGCATTTTATTTAAAAATAATAATGATGAGATTGCACATAATGGAAAATGCTGTTTATGAGTACAGTAGTAAGGTCTTTAAGCAAACTCACATTTTGAGCAATTTTGATTTTCTTATATCCTCTGGAATCTTCCCTAAAGCTTATGTTTTACTGTAATAAATAAGTTTGCCTTCACACAATCCTTAAATATTTACTAAAAATTCCTTAATTCCAAATTAAATAATATTCATAATTACTATATTTTTAAAATTAAACAATTTGGCCAACACATAATACTGTAACCAAACTGTCTTCTCCTTTCTAACCACAAATAACAGCTAGTAATTATCTACAAATTGAGTACCAAGCAACTACAGAGGAATAGAATTTAGTAGAAACACCATGTGAAAGCAGTGTTCGATGAGGTACAGATACACAGTTGCACATTGTGAAATACAAACAGCACTTCTTTTAAAACAGTTGAATACAAAAGGCTAACTGATGTTTTTCAGAAGTGCCATACACAACTAAATTCTCACTAATACTTAGCATTTATATAGTACTTTACATTTTAAAAGTGCTATACAAATGCTGTCTAGATGAAATGTATTATCTAAAGGCAGAATACAAATCCAAAGTGAATGGTTACCAGATGAATGGCACCATGACAGTAAAATTACAGCGAGACTAAGTACTTTATAAATCAGCTAGCTATGCATGAACTAGAATGGAAGGCCACATATTTTACAAGGAGAATGTATAGATATAAAAGTATTACCATTCATTAAATAGGCTTCTATGACCTCAAGGAATGAGGAGCTCTGACTGGCTCCACTGGCTTAAAATGCCTAACCCGGAAGTTGTAGGAAACATAAGGAAACCACTTCAGTGACAAACAGACAGCTTATTTCAAGTGCTAATAGAAACTACCTTTAAGAGCCATCATTCTTATACATCAATGCGAATTCCATGTTTTATAGACATTAATTCTCTAGTGCCTGTTAAATACATAATAAATGAACACAGATGAGGTAAAGATGCTGTAATTGCTACATACAGCCAATATGGCAAAGGAGGAGTTTTTCCAAATGGGCAGATCCAGAGGCCATGACGAATCCCATCACGGATGTGATGGGAAGTCCAGGATATGAACAACATCCAGGGAAGAAAGCACCATGAATCCTTAAGCCTGAGAAGGTGCATAATAAACTTTAATGTCAGAGCCACAACAGGAATCACAGTAGAACAATGAAGAAGTGGTCTCTCTGGAAGAGTCAGAGCAGCCTGTGGAAAAGAAAATTATGATTTGCAATGGCTGCAATCGTGACAAGAAAAGAAATGTTTCATGGATGTTTACAGGTGCACTATGAAGTGGCTAAGTGGGAGTGCAAAGAAAAAGATACTGTTCCTTTTCCACTGTAGCTGATCAAAATCAACAATATGATTATTTAGATGTATGAGATCTGTGTGCTGCCCTGTCTCTCTATTGTGTGATATGAATCATGCATCCTACTAACCATTACCGACAGCAAAACAGGGAGGGAGAGGGATGAGGTATGCTATTTGTCATATAGTCATATGGTATAAAGGAATTTGCATAGTCTGCTGCACTGATTATATGTGTTCAATTTCAAGATAATTAAAACAACCATACAATATACTTGAAATTTTTTATATGCTTTACTTGAAATATTTCATATGCTTTAATTGCATTTATTTTCAAAAATACATCCTGTATTATACTTAGCACCTGTGAAGATATTTTAGTTGGACAGTATCTAAAACAGAACAGTAATTTCCAATAAAACAAAAATATGATCTAAGTTAGAAGTATTTTGATTGCCTTGACACAGTATTCTTTATGGACAGGCAAAAGACAAGTTCAGAAGCCATTATTTGAATCATTTGTGACTGGGGTTTTTTTTATATCAATAACTTGTTTAATGTTAACTCAGTTGAAAGCCTGACTTTAATTAAGATGAATGTCTAGCTAGTGAGATTAAATTTAGCCATTTTAAGATGTGACAATTATGAATTTAACATACATAACTGAGAAAATATTCCAGATGTACTTACTAGCAACAGCTAGAGCTATCTCCACAAATTCAAAGAGAGTAAAAAAAAAAAAAAAAAAAAAAATTTGGATTTCTAAGCAACAAATAAGTAGATTCTTGTTTCTGTAAGCATAGGAGAAATGATAGCACATTACTATAAGGCCTACACAGGTCCTGATGTAATATTAATTGGCACAATTCAGAAACTGTTGAACATTTAGGAAGACTGTAACAGGCACCAGAGATGTACTATTTGCACGTGAAGGTGCATCTGATTGTTACGTTGAACACATCCCTCACTGCATCTATTGCAGAAAGAAAACAATGCATTGCTATAAGACACCAGCCAGTAGCCTGTTAATGCTTCTGTGTGTTAACTGTTGCAGGATTCAACAGCTACAGTACCTGACAGTGGGACTCTGGAATAGCTTCATTAAGTCTTCTGTAAGGGAACTTTGATGTAGCCTTAGCCAAAAAATACAGAGATGGAAACTCATGGACTACCTTGGAATACAAAAGCCTGTGTTTTAAACCAAAGTGAACGTTCAAAGGCTTGCAGAAAGCTTTGCTCTTTTAGCTTCCCATCACATGCTTGTCTGTGACACTCTTGATCAGGTGATAGCAGTAAAAAGCTCACAAACTGTCTCAACAACTTTCAACTGTAATAGTATGGACCCAATTCCTTAAAGTTGGCACAAAGGGTGTATTTTCTACAACTTCACTTCTGTTTCATACAAGCAGATTGCTCACAGATTAAAGTAGAAAAATTTTGTGATGGTGAAATTGTTTATCACCTACCCTATAGTCAGATTTTTGTTACTGTCAGCAAGAGCCTAAAAAGTCCACACTAGCCTCATTTTGAAAAAACCACCCTGGATGGTGATACGTTTTAGTAGGATCTCCTATTGACTGGTCATTATTTCTGCACTTTTAAAAAATCAGTGGCAAAGTCTAAGAGTCTTTTCCCTCTGCCCTATGGAGGTTACGTGCCAACAGCAATACAGTGGGTAAGGAGAATTTCAATGTTAATTACATATGCAATTTATCAGTATTACTGTCAATCTTTATCCAGTTTTAGGGACTTGATGCTTAAATTGTTTTCATGCAGAATTTTAGATGGCAGGGTTGTTCACACAGCAAAAATAAGCACTCAATTTTAGCAAGAGAAAGCCTTATTTTGTAATTGCAGTACACTCATTAGGCTTCTGAAATGCTGTTGCCCAAGTTCTGAGAGAAGAATAGCCTCTTTCCTCTTTTACATTCTATAACTAGAGGAACATTTAAATCCTTGAGTTGGCAAGCCCAAGAGACAGACATGTAGTTCTATTTGGCAATATAAGCTGCTACGCTCTTTCTCCTAACAGGCAAATTTGTTCACCTTTAGAAATCGCCAGATCTTAAGAATAAAACAAAACAAAACAAAAAGTACAAGCCTTTTCTGCCTTAAATCTCCTGCAAAAAGATGATTATGGTTTTGGTAGATTTAGGGGAACATCTATAAGAGAGATCAGGCTGCAGTTGCAAACAGAATTTATTCACAACACAAATTACCTTTCCATTTGCCTATGTGTTCAATCAGGTGCAAGATCTTCTTGAAGTTCCTGCTCCTCCAGCCCCTCTCACACACTACAATGAGCAGCTGGAGACAGGAGACAACAATGACATGCAGGAGAACCCAAGCAAACTCTTTGCTGTAATGCTCAAAGTGATGCCACGGAATTTATGTAACAACATGGGCTCCCTCACTCATATTCCATCATGCTTCACAAGCCTTGAAGTCCTTAGTTTTGAGGCTGATCTATAAATTCAATGTTAAATTAGTTGTGTGTGTGCAAAGCTTATTCTCCAATTCCAGAAATGCTCCTCTGCTGCCTAGGTTGGTCAGCAGTGGCACATTAACCAGTTGTGTTACGTATGTTTACCGATACAATCTTGTTTGCCATCGACTGCATTCTCTACACTTTTACAAGCTGGTGAGTCTTAAGTAACAAGCTAGTGATTTCTTTATATCTGTTCTGCAACATAAGTTGGGCTTACAGTCCTGCGGGACATGGGGAGTAGCCCATCACGCTGTTCTTATTTATCAGCAATGCGGAGTATGATTGCAGGCTGCAGTTACTTTCACCTTTAATCAATGAGACAGATTCTTCAAACACTGAATCTTAGACTCTTCCACGCTTTTGTGCATGCAATACACAGTAAAATCTACAGGGAATACAAAGACCTACAAATTCTAAGTAGCAAAGTCTTTGTGGACTTTATACTTGCGGCAAAAATAATGTGGGCAAAAGGGCAGATCACATGCTACTTGGTACACAAGTATTTATCAAATACCACAGGTGACTATTTACCCTGAATACTCCAGAAAAATAATGATAACACTGTGAAAAACAGCCCAATAGCCAAATGATCCAAGCAGTGAGCTGTGTCAGCAATGACTGGAGGAGTGTGAAAGTAGCAACTGGAGGTAGAAGGCAATACTGCCTTGTACTGCATAGAAGGGATACTCCAAAAAGTAACCCGTCATCAGATTTAAGAGTGATGTTGAAGAGCTTTATAGACAATTGTGTAAAGTAATGTGAAAAATATTGTTACAAATTAGTAATAGTGGTGTGGTTAGCTAATTAGATTTCTTAATTTATTAGTTACTTAGTAATGTGTTGCATGAGCAGTAAACATTGCAGTCTCTTAAATCAGTTACTCTCAATCGTGCAATCTAAAAAGGAAGCATGGGACTGGAACTAACAAATACGTAGTAAAAAAGTATCCCACGGAGTAATAAATTACATAGACAACAGCCTGAAATTACAACATGAAACTGAAAGGTGCATCATATTAAGCTGAGGAAAGAAAAATCACATATTAAAATCAGGTCTAGCTAGCCAGGCAAGAACACAGCAGAAAAGTTTATGGGGATTACATTGTATCACAAACTAAAAAGACTTTGATGGCATTGCAAGAAGACAAAACCAGTAACAGATTTTTTCTTTTTAAAAAGACATAGTCAAGTGTTGTATGACATGTAACTTTAAAAGGAATTAACCTATGTTATTTGGCTTAAATGAAGTCTCACCTAAAATACTACATACAGTTTGGGACAGGATCCTTTAAAGATAATTTAGGCAAAAGGCAATCCAGAAGAGACAAGAAAAATAGTAAGAGGTTTAGAAAACATAAATACAGGCCCTTCAGACTTTTTTTTTTTGGAGTTATTTAGTCACGAAGATGCTTTTTGTAAAGCATAATGGTTTTGCTAGTTGTAAGAGTAACGTTGTTAACTGCTGTTAGGGTCAAGAGACCTACACAGCATATGCTTTACAGGTAAACATCCTTTCTTAGCCCAGTTAACGTATGGAAGGGGGAGGAGTTTGTAGACAAATTACTGTGAAAAAACCTTTAGGCGTCTTGCCTTCTTACCTCAGCTAAGTAAGTTTGGCTTCTAAAGGGCTATTCTACGTGCAACATCTTGCATTTGAAAAACACTTTTTGGGGAAAGCACAGGAATCAGCTATCTTTTGCAGAGGTCTTAAAGAATAAAAACCCAAGATCTAACTGAAAACAACAATACTTTAGGCCGGATATTAGAAAAACAATTGCTAGCTGCTTGGGAACTGAAACAACAGAGGGACAAATTAAGTCATGAAATTGCAATAATTTACTTTGTTTGGAATACTAGGAATAGGCTACACAAAACATTTTCCATCATGGAAAGTGTAAGCATACTTAATCGTGCCTCACTGAAGGCAGTAAAGAGACAAGTCACCTCCCAATTCTATGATACAATACTCAACCTTTTAAACAGACTGGTGGAGAGTGTCATCTAGTGGTCACGATTAAGAAAAATTACTGGTAATAATTTCAAATGCAAGAAAAAGTAGCAATAAAATTTTACCAATACTTTCTAATAACTAGCCATTCATCACTTGCATTTACTGATGTTTAAAATAAGAAAATATACATCAGAATAATTACAGATTTAAATGCTATACCAAAATGTTAATATTATAGGACCCATTAATCAACCAAACTAACTTTTATTATTTTACAGCATTTCCATATGCAAAAAGTACAGAAAAGGGGAGAACTAGGGACTACCTAGGGAGGAACAATGCTACGCACCAGTACATGCTGGAGGCTGAGGGGCTGGAAAGTAGTTCTGAGGAAATTCAGCTTGTTGAATTACAAGTTGAGTATGAGCCAGCACTCTGCTGTTGTGGCAAAGGCGGCCAGTGGTATCCTGGGCTGCATTAGGAGCATTGCCAGCAAGCTGAGGGAGGTGATCCTTCCCTTTCTCCTCAGCACTGGTAAGGCCACCCCTCTGGAGTGCTGAGTCCAGTCCTAGGATCCCCACTACGAGGGACATGGAGCTACTGGAGATCAAGTCCAGAGAAGGGCCACTAAGATCATGAAGGGACTGGAGCACCTTGCATATGAGGAAAGTATAAGTGTTGGGATTGTGCAGCCTGGAGAAGAGAAGGCTCAAGGGAGATGTCATCAAAATGTACCAATATCCAAAGGGAGGGACTGCCACTGAGAGGTCAAGGGGCACAACTGAAACACAGGAGGTTCCTCCCGAACGTAAGGAAACATGTTTTCACTGTGAGGGGGAACTGTGCATGGGAACAGGGTACCCAGAGGTTTGGGAGTCTATATCCATGGAGATACTCAAAAGTTGTCAGGACATGGTCCTGAGCAACTGGCTCCAGGTGAGCCTGCTTCAGCAGGGGGGTTTGAGAAGATGACCTCCAGAAGACCCTTCCAACTACTACCTCTCTCTGACTCTGTGAAAATACCCTTTTTGTCAAAGACAAATATAAGGGGGAAACTGACCAAAAGGACAAATAGGAAAATGTCTTTTCTCTACAAAAAATAGTGACATTGTACATAAACATTTTCCCATTGGAAGTCACATTTTTACATCTCAACTCTAAGCGATAACGCTTCTTGCGTTTAGCTGTCTCTCACATATTAAAAAAAGTTAAATCATTTTGCATTTTTCTTCTTTAATTAAAGGATTACAAAGAACAGCAATTTTCCCTCCACCTCCTTCCTTCCTCTGCTTCCTAGCAGCTATTTCCTCTGTCATCCACATGAAGAGCGTAACACTATTATGAGGAAACTGGAGGAGGAAAAAGAAGGCGAGACAGTGAAACAGCTAAGTTATGCTCTGGTTGAATGGATAAAGGTCAGTATCTTCCCCTTCTCCTGTGCAGGTCCATCTGTAGGTGGGGGTGTGCATTTCTGGGCAGGGGAGAGTAAGTAGCAAGTATGCATACATATGCAAGCAACACTAGCATAATCAAACTGTGAGGACTTGTGTTGCTGAGCAGAGCAAATTCCTGATAACAAGCAAAGTGGCAGAGCTCCGGCTGTGGGGACCAGGAGCCTGCTGGGGGTCAGCAGTGTCTGCCTGAGGTATGAGATCTGGAGGGCAGCGTTGAGAACTGTGGCCAGGGCTGGCACAGCTGGAGCTAACAGAAGGGGTAAATGTTTTGGAGAGTATACAGAAGAGACTGTGGTGGTCAGTGAAAGCAGGGTGTATGTGTTTGGAGCAGGCAGGAAGACAGGGATATATGTACATGTGTGAATGGGGAAGGAGGAACAGGACACATCTAAGCCACTGGAGAACCACTGGAAAAGAATGCCATAATCTGGTACTACTAATCCTATTCAGAAACTCTGTCCTAGCAAGCAGTTCTGCAAATGGATGATGATCACATATATTCCTTGACAGGAGCCAATTAACCTTTTTATTTTTATGAACACATTCGACACTTGCTTTATACATTTATTTTTTTACAACGAACTGTATTTAAGGACAAACTTAAACTGCCTTTTTAAAGGTGACAGCTCATATATAGCTTGCTTGTAGGAAAAATATTTAGGGCTGGCTAAAACCAAATGCACCACTTGGTAAGACTGAATGAAATCAAACACAAGCTGGATTATCTACTTTCCAGATATTTCTACACCGTATTGTAAACAGAAATGGAATAATCCACTTTATACGCAAAGCGTGCATGGCAGCACTTAACTGTTTAACTTGGATAACAAAGCAACTATGTGATACACATAGGATATCATGTACAATGGCTTTCAGAACTCTTTTTCAGAGCCTTGTAAGGAGTAGAACTCAACAGCAGATGTAAAATATTTTTAGAGCTTTTAAAATCATAACAACTGCATACAAATATAATTCCCATATATCTATTAAAAATGTAGGTAATTAAAGTATCATTGGAACTTTTTTTGTTTAGGATATGGTAGAACAATAAACTAAACAGTGATGAAGAAAGAAGATAAACAATCACTGATCGGTTGACTTACCTTTAATGACAGGGAGCCAGCAAGAAAGAAGTGGTCCACATCAATTATGGAGGCGAGGAAGCCAGCCAGAGTGACCTCAGTGAAGTCACTTTTCTTCCTGAGTCCAATCACTATTGCCCAGGACCACATTCCTAGTATACCATGCACTGCATTATCAGAGAAGGCTCGGAGCCAGTCATTTTGCTGAATGAAGGAAAACTGCAGAAGTCTGTCTGCTACAAAGCAGAATATTCCCAAACCTAGACTAGAAATAACTGAAGCTGTACTGAAAGTTTGGAGAAGAGCATGGGCCTTTTCAGTCTCAGATGCCATGGCAAAAACCATGTCACAGCACACAAAATGTCATCAGCACATACACTGTGCATTGTCCTTTGTATCGTCAGTTGTTCTGTAAATGTCAGAGAACACAAAGAAAACTATTAAAGAAAAAAATCCTTTAGCACAAAACATTGCTATCACAGCTGCAACTGAGCATAAAAACCCCAATTTAAATGTTTGCATTTAATATTCCTAGGGAACCTTTGATTTTCTTTGATTTGTTGACTTGAACACTACAGCTCTGAACGAAAATGCTTGTCCTGTTTTAATTAGAACAAGCACCTTTGTAACATGGAAAGCTCTAACTCCACTTTTTGAAATCTTAAATTTTACAAAATAATTTGAAACATGTCTATGATAATACATTGAGTATGTTTCAAGAGTCCTCCTGGTCTTAAATACATGATATTCATAAAATTAAATCCTTTACACTGTAACAACAGTTATTTGTCCACTTTGGAGGATTCTTAGGACTGATGCTAACAATCCGAAATCTCTCTCTGCAACAACTGTTAAAACTCTTTCTAATTTATAATCCAAACCACTATTTTCATCTACATACTTTGTAAACATATGTTTATCACGCTTGTACCCCTTTCTGAGCAACTCCTTCAGCTTGGAGATGGTAGAATAAGCATTAAGAAAACCAGAAGACTAAAATATCTTTACAGTTTATCATAAACACAAAGATGACAACCATTCAGTCAAGTAGACGTAACCCAAACTAACTCCTTACAGAGCAAACCTACATATGCTTTTCTTCAGTATGTGCTCCAGCAGCAAACTCTACTGTTGCTTTTAGGACTTGTCTACTGCCTGACACATTACTTGCACAACAGCTCTTTTTGCAGAAAAGAAAAAAATTAACTAATCCCAGTGATTTTACTTTTTTCAAAAGTTGACTGTTGTAATTTGAAAATAAAGGTGTTGATATTAGCATTAATACTTAAAAGTCCTTAAAAACTACTTATGTTGTGCTTGTTATGACACTCTTATACAAGATGATTTCCTGGAAATAATAATTGTCCTTAAATAACTGCTTCACATTTCAAGAGAAATTCCAAAAATAAATCAAGATTTTAAAGACACCCCCACTCCACTCTCATATTCTGCAGCAATTACAGGATACCTGAATTATAAAGACAGAATACTCATTTCTGTGAGCTCATTTCTTAGCTTTGTCACATTAAATGCACGGAAAAGCAGTCTTTGCAGGACTTTCAAACACCATCAGTTCGAACTGTCCCAACTCTTATGCTCTTCTTTTTGGGGAACCATGGAGATAGACCAGAGTTTCAAAGCCTACATCCTGTCTAAAAACAGATTCTTCCCAAGATGTTGCAATTTCTGTGCAATACATTAAATCTTGGTAATCCTTTTTCTTACCGTTCTGTCAGGTAAATTTTTATTCTAAATCGGCTTTTTATGAGTGTACTAGACTTCCTTTAAAAATGAATACTTTTAACAATGTTGACGCACAGTAGTTTATTATTTTAAACACACTATTGATTATAAGCCCCAGAAAATAAAAAATGTTTCTTCTAGTTTATTTACATGCCTTTTTATTGTAGAATTATATCCAAGACATGACTAGTGGCATTGATCTTCATGGGGAAAAAAAGCCCACTGAATCATTTATTTGGAAAACATTAAAAAGAGAAGAAAGTGTGAATAATACATGGACTTTGCACACAGATGAAAAAAAAAGTGGGTCAAGTTCAGAGTCTGTTAACCATGACCATCTCTTCTGAACGAACATGTAGACAAAGTATTTAAGTATTTCCTGAAACACTGGAACTGCCATTTTTTGCTGGGTGACTTACAATATACAGTACATTTCTGAATAAATTCCATTTTAAGGAACAAATTATGATCTCCTCACAAATGTTTCTTCTATATAACCATCATGTCAGATTAGATTTTATTTAAAATTACTGTAAAATCTGTATAAGACTCCAATCTGTGAAGAGCTGATGTAGCAACATACCTTTAAAAAGCACACTAGTATTCAGACTCAAACTTACCCTGGGACTAGGAGAATATATTTTTTCCATTGCAGTTGCCTTATTCCAATAGCAAATGTGGTCTATGCCTCAGCATTGAGCCTCTGTGCTTTCCAAATCCAGTGTGTCCAGTCCAATGCCAGAAAGACCAAACACCATTTGTTCCATCCTAAATAAATTGAACCAGGCAGCAGTAAGCACTGATACTTACACAAAGCTGTTCCAACTCTCTATGAAACACACATGAAAACTGAAAAATAGTAAAAAATACAGAAAGAAGAAGAATCTTTTTAATGAATTCCTGAACAAATACAACTGAGCTAAAAGCAACTTCAGCTAGGGCTTAGAAGCTCTGTCAAAGAAAGCAGGAAAAAGATGACCATAAAAAAAGAGAAGGGCATAAATAAACATGGAACAAGATAATAATTAAAGATAATAAACCCAAATGTCATAAAGTCAGAAAAGAGCACTTCCAGCCTTCTGTTTAAAGTAAATGCATTTCAAAATATACAGAGATCTATTTTAACAGATGTATGCCTGAAAGATTCCCACCTAATGAAACATTTATGAGTGACATTCAGGGATCTCTTTTTAATTTCATCCCATCAGTTACTGACCTTGGAATAGATAAACAGAGACCTATAAATTCAAATAGCAACAGAGATTTGTGTTAGTTCTTAGGCTTACACTACTTTGCTATGGATATTATTAACACGCATAAAGTATAAAGGAAAAGTATCACCACAGACTGAAAAAAAAAAAAAATCCAAAATTAGTATGATTTGAGAATTACGTATCACGAAATAAAGGAAACAATGCCAACCTGAAAACAAGGACAAGATGTGAATGGGTGTCTTTGAGCCAGAATGAGGAACAGGAAGTAAAAATCTGACTTCAGATTACCCTTAGTCAAGAGCCACATCCATAGCTGTAACTGTTCTTTTTAACTACTCTGTCTCTGCTTTTATAGACAAAAATGACTGCTGTCTGTGTAAAAACCAAGCCACATTCCCAGGTACAACAGCATAAGTATGTATGTTCTGCAGATCAAGACTGAAATCAGAGTAGAAAAAGCAAAACTGTATTCAACCAAAATAATCTCTGAAATTACAATTTTTAATATAAAACTGTATTTTTTGTCTGAAAAATAATGATTTTCAGACTCTTTACAAAATATCACAATAAAGTTTCATAGGTTTTTCTATCCTATAAATCTCAGAAAGCATAGTTGCGGAGCTTACATTCTTGTTAGAACACTGGGAAATAGGTGTATTACACAAGAATGCTTAGAAACCTATGGGTGGTCAGTACAGTTAACATACTGAAGGAAAGATTTAGGTTGGGTTCACATAAAACACGTGCGCACAGCAGCTGATAGAGCAACACTGCTTAGATTTGTGATTTCTCATGACATTTTTGTATCAGATAAAGCATTATGCATAATCTCCACTTACATCCACAAAATGCAATTTTGCATTTTGCAAAATATATAGTTTCATTTAATGAAATTACAAAAATAATCTTAACACATATTTAGCATTCTAAATTACTGACACAAGAAGCTATTTAGATAAAAGCTGTAAATATGCATTTAGGGAAATAGCTGACACTAAGAGGCCTTTCAACTCATGATCTAAGAGCAAAACAAAAATCCAATGGCTAAAATTATCATTTAGAAATATTGCTTTCCAGAATTTTTGCCCCAATTTTGCACGAAGTTATTGAGTACACAAATTCATACAGGAATTTAATGCATAAAATTAGGTGAATTATGCACTTTATGCAACAAGATCGCAGTAGTCCTCTATAATTCTATAATCTCCTAAAACCCCATTATTTTATATTGGATGTTAATTTATATGAAAAACTCCATAAAGTACAATTACCATTTAAGACACAAGCTCAAATCTTTAATGTATTATCACATGGAAAAGCAGATCTGAGCCTAAAACAATCTGTGAAGAACTGATAATGCAAATACTTTTTGGTCAGATGATTATAACGCATTATTGGGGCTGGAGGGTGGAAGGAGGCTGAAGAGGAAAGAGGACAAAAGCACGCAAGAAACCAGTAGGATTTTACCAAGATACTGAGGAATAAACTGAAATAAACCCACAAGGAAATGAAGAAAAACAAACAAATCAACGCCTCATAAAATCAGGATTTAATTAAATTGTTTATTTCAAGGACCATAAATTAAAGTGTTTGAAAAGAGATAACAAGACATGAAAATGCAGACCTTCTGCTTAATGAATACTTTGGAACTGAGAAATATCTAAAAGAAAGAGTTGGAAGAAATATCCTAAAAGCATATAGTAACTAGAAACAGACCACAGTACCATCCAGTGGAAGAAAAAAAAAATTGTCATCCTAGATGAAAAAAAAAAAAAAGAGGAAGAAAAAGAGCTTGAGCAGTTTATGTATTGCCCTCATTAACTACAACAGCATTCGGATCATAAACAGCTAATCCAATTTAAGACTACTGATACTGAGATCAGTATGTGTTACTCAAGAGAGGTACGAAGGAAAGACAGGCACGCGGTAGACAGACACGTAAAATTACAGTGATCAGCAACAATTTTTCTGTCTTGAGAAAAGGGTATGCTTTGTCTCAGCACCAAAGCCCCTCATCAGCCATCTCCTCAGTCATTAAGAAAAAAGTACTGTCATCTTTACCGCAAAAACGGAGCCAAGAGTGTTAGGGAGCCTTAATCTAAGTAACATGCCTGGCTTTATCTAAAGTACCGCATTACCGTTTATCTTAAGACCTGACGCGACATATGGGTACCAATATTAATAAAAAAAGGAATTTAACGCTGACTCCTCTCACACTGCTACGACAGTCTTCCCCCGCTTTACCACCTTCTCAGTAAAACTCATTGCACTGTAAAACGCCCTGGGGGTGCCCTCACCAACCGAGCCCCGAAAC